GTGTGTGTGTGTGTGTGTGTGTGTGTGTGTGTGTGTGTGTGTGTGTGCGCAAACTGCAGCTTGGGCCTCCTACATGACCAACTCTCCAACTGTGATAGTGATGATTGGGTTGCCCGCTCGAGGGAAAACCTACATGTCCAAGAAGCTGACACGCTACCTCAACTGGATTGGAGTGCCAACGAAGGGTCAGTACGGAAGCAATACCGCATGTTTTAGTTTTATGAATGTTGTAACGTTTGATCTGTCCATAAACAGTTAGGATTGGATTCAGAGCCTCAGTGAGTCACTATAAAAAGTTATTTTTGGAAGGTGCAGTGCAGACGTGCATCTAACTTGAATCAGGGTGGCACCATGATGCACTGCTTTCTATTTTTATCTACCCGGGACGATACCTTTTAAAGTTCTTGTACAAACAGCCCTGAAGGAAACATGACTCAGGTGGATATCGCTGGTAGGGCCTGTGAGTGTCTCCTCTTTTGCCGTTTCTCTTGTTTCTTTTTGTATTGTTTGTGTCCTAACATGTGGAATTGTTTTCTATTTAAAACTGCTTCCGTCTTGACCAGGAAGAAGAGATCTTGTCTCTTGGTGGGACTGTGCTGTCTAAATATAGCATAGATTAAAAAAAGCGATTACTTATCTGAAAATATTATGCTTAAGGCAGTGCTTTGTTAATTCATAGTTCTGTACATGTCACCACCCCCTTTCAGCTGGCTCAGTCTGCAGTTTCTCTCTCTCTGTGTTCCCTCTGCAGTATTTAACCTCGGCGTCTATAGGAGAGAGGCAGTGCAGTCCTACAAGTCCTACGACTTCTTCAGACATGACAATAAAGAAGCAATGCAAATTAGAAAGTGAGTAAGAAAGCTTTCTCTTCGCGTTGCCCCAATTTGGTGTCGTAGATTGACTCCTTTCCCTTTGACTTCCTGATCAATGTACTGATTGTGTTTCCTCAGGCAGTGTGCTCTGGTGGCCCTGGAGGATGTCAAGGTCTATCTGAATGAGGAGGGAGGCCAGATCGCTGTAAGGACACGAAACACTCAATCTATTGTTTATGGATATGAATTGATTTGGGCTGAACATCTTGTGTTGTCTGTCAGGTTTTTGACGCCACCAACACCACCAGAGAGAGGAGGGAGCTCATCCTTAGTTTTGCTCAGGATAATTCATACAAGGTCAGAGTTACGTTCATGATTTCACCATTGAGGTTCAGTGTGTCTTCACATGAATTCTGAATTTCTAATGATTAACACCTTTCGTTAGGTGTTTTTTGTCGAATCAATATGTGACGATCCCGACGTCATCGCGACAAATATCCTGGTAAATGATGCTTTTATGGGTTTTTTTTTTTGGTTTTTTGTTTTTGAAGCACAGTTTTGTCCTCGTTGGATTTCACAGTGCATCATCTCTACACATGTTTCTCTCACAAAAGGACGTGAAGGTGTCCAGCCCAGATTACCCTGAGAGGGACAGAGAAAGCGTCATGGAGGATTTTCTGAAGCGAATAGAATGTTATAAAGTGACCTACAAACCTTTGGATCCGGATGAACACGACAAGTAAGAAAGCTTCACGCCGTAAGTCTTTTATGGCTAACTGTCCTCAGTAGTTTCCTTGTGTTGGCCTTGTAGATGATTTGTCTTTATGGGGGTAAGAACAGAACATAAACTGTCCACCAGGTGGAAACAGGAGCTACTTTATGATCTTGTTGGTTATCGTCTATTATTTAATGGGTTGTGATTTGAGGAGCTGGCATACGTATTAAAATGAATAAAGTAACCTAACTTAAATTAGGCTTAAATTAATACTTGTTGATAGCCTTAAACCTCGTCCTTGCTAATGACACAGAATGTCCTGAAGCGTGTGATGAATGAAATATCAGAATACTCAGACTACACCAAAAAGTACCAGGTATCCCTTCGCCCTTCGAGTCTTGAGTTACCGCACTGACTCACTTTCCGTTGTCCTCTTTTTCTCTCTGACACACAGGAACCTCTCCTTCATCCAGGTCATCAATGTCGGCCGTCGTTTCTTGGTCAACAAGGTGCAGGACTACATCCAAAGTAAAATAGTGTACTACCTCATGAACATCCACGTGCACTCCCACTCTATCTACCTCTGTCGGCACGGAGAGAGCCATCACAACGTGGAGGGACTCATCGGGGGAGACTCTGAGCTGTCAGAGAGAGGGAGACAGGTGCTCTAACTATTCATCCCAGCAGCATCTCCAAAAGTCTTAAAAGAAGTGTTTGACATTTTTGGAAGCGCACTTAATTAATTATGATACCATTCTAATATGTGCTTTTTTAAATATGAAGCAGCAGCTTTTATTAGTAAAGACAGGAAACAGCTATTCTGGCTCTTTTTTTTTTTTTTTTTTTACGTATCAAACAAAAGAGACAGAGTGTGTTAGTTAGCTAGCTGTTTCCCCCTGTTTCCAGTCATTGTGCTAAGCTAAGCTAACTGGCTGCTGGCTGTAGCTTCACATTTATTGGACAGATATGAGAGCAGTGTCAATCTTCTCATATCACTCTGAGCAAGATAATAAGCGTCTGTGCCAAAATGTCAAGCTAGTCCTTTGATATAATGTCCAGAACAACTTGAGAAGCTTTTGAAAGTTATAAAATCAAGCAACACATTGTAAACAATTAGTTTTAGCATAAAACCAGGAAGACGAAGAGAATATTTGTAACTTCTGTTTTGTGTTTGGGTGTCTCTTCTCCAGCATAAACGTCTCTTTCGTATGTCCTCCTGTCAGTTTTCAGCAGCACTGAAGGGTTTTGTTCAAGAGCACCATCTGTCAGACCTGAAGGTTTGGACGAGCCAGCTGAGGCGCACCATTCAGACGGCAGAGGAGCTGGGAGTTCCCTACGAGCAGTGGAAGATCCTCAATGAAATAGATGCTGTAGGTGCTCTCATCTATAGCTGAAGAGACAGGCGTTCACTGTGAGGGCGTGTGTTTTATTCGCCTGCTTTGTGTTTCAGGGAGTGTGTGAAGAAATGTCCTATGAGATTATTGAGGAAACGTACCCAGAGGAGTTCGCCATGAGGAGCCAGGACAAGTACCATTACCGCTATCCGGGAGGAGAGGTAACAGCCTGACAGATTAGAGTCTGTAATGCTTCTGCCCATTATGTTTCTTTGTGCCTCTGCGACGGCCGTGGCCGGAGGCATTATGTTTTTTCGGTTTGGTCGTCGTTCTGGTGAATGTGTTATCTCAGGAACGCCTGGAGGGGATTTCTGCAAATTTGGCACTAACCTCCACCTGGACTCAAGGAATGAATATTAGATTTTAGTGGTCAAAGGTTGTTGGCCACAACTCAAGAATTTATGGGCTAATTATGCAGAGGATAAAATTATGACATTTTGGACAGACATGGACGTAAACGTTGTAATTGATTTTTGACCATTTAATGAGGTATCGCTTTAGAGACCTCCATAGTTTTTTAGATTTGATTATAAATATAGTTGTCAGTTGAGGAAGTGATGATCGGAACAGTCACTGTTATGACTTACTCACGCTGACTGGTCGGCGGAAACACACAACCACAAGGCGATAAATATTGTTTAATAATGAACTGGAAAATGATCTTCAATAAAAGCTGAATCAAACTTGTCTGTACCTTTTTGGATCTAGTCCTACCAGGACCTGGTTCAGCGGCTGGAGCCGGTCATTATGGAGCTGGAGCGACAGGGCAACGTGCTGGTCCTCTGTCACCAGGCCGTCATGCGCTGCTTGCTCGCCTATTTCCTGGACAAGAGCGCAGGTAACAAGCAGAAACATGACACGAGCCTCGACGAAGCCTCACATTATAGAAACATATTTACAGTAAACTGCTGAGTCTCTGCGAACAGCTGTTTTTATCATTTATCTAAAACTTGTACGACCATTCTACTCAATCCCTCTTTAACAAAAGGGCTTATTGAAGATCATATTGTTCCCCTGAGAACACATTCAACACCACAACATTTAGGTCTATTTGTGACATTGAAATCTGTCGTACTCTGGATTTGCGAAGGTGCGAGAAGAGGAGCAATTAAGAGACCTAAATGAAGAGAAGTGTGGCACGACTGACCAAGACTCATCCAAAGTGGATGCACAAGCACAGTAGCACCAGTCTAGTAGTCTGTCACACAAACTTCGGCCTTTTTGGTTGGTTGTAATTTGGCCTTTGACAGGCTGCTGTTAGTTGGTGTTGTAGCTCCAGACCACAGCTGTTTAAAACGGACCCTCTCAGTAATTAGATCTGTAATCGCAGTAGTGATTTACCTGTGGGTTGTTCCAATGGATAGATCATGGCTGTAAATGTTTCAGCCTATTTTGACAGTAAGGAGGATAGTAAGGAAACATATTTTAGAAACAATGAATATTGCCATCTGACACAGTGTATTCTCTGATGTCACCACAAGAGGACGCCACAGTCTGGATTTTTCAAACGCAGTACAAAGGTGACTTGAAGCATTTGGCTCGACCCAAACAAAGAACTGTTACCGTAAAACAGGGTAAACCAGGGGTGTCAAACTCATTTTCACTCCGGGCCACATCAGCATCATGGTTTCCCTCAAGTTTGGACTTATCCTGAGCTACATCATCAGCTACACATTTATGGATAGTCTATTATATTCAGACACTTGCTTAAAGTTGTGTGGAGACGATTCATTTTAAAGCAATGATATTAATCAGGCGCTGAATCATGACCTCTAACATACACTTCGACCGTGTGTCAAAAGACTCCGTGACGCTCTAAAAGAGAGCGTCAGAAATGATGACTTTGCAGATGTTTTTGTACTCTGTTTATTAATTTTTCCCCCAATTAAACAGTATTAATACTAAAAATGACAAAGACAAAGAAATGCAGAATGCAGATTCTCCACATATTCATTAAAGACATTTCTGATTTTGTTCCTCTTTTCAAGTGATCTCAGTTTCTCTATTTGACGACACATTAAGATCTCATATGAACGACGGAGGGCAGGTAGCCACCCACCTAATTACGATCACTCGTCAAGCTCACAATGCAGCAAATGCTGTTGCGTTCCACGATGGCAGAAATCCTGACCAGATCATAAACACTAACATCTATTTTGCCTTTTGGAGCTTTGTTTAAAACAAAACTAGTGAAGTTACAGGGTTGCACTCTAGAGAGTTCTTGATAGTGGACTCTGGCTTTTGGATGGCATTGTTCTTCTAAGATAATTGTACTTGCATTAAATAAAGCACATGTAAACATGTGTGGAAGCACTCAGTGACAAATAACAGGCCTGAGTAATAACTGGGTGGGTCGAGTGGAAAATGCTGCTCAAAATCAAATCCATAATTAGGCATGAGGTTTCGTCAGTCAGCAGAGGAAGTGGCTGTAGCATCTCCACCACAGTGTGATGACCGCAGACACCAAACCGTGTGGGTGCAGCTCTGACTGGCATCTCATCCCACTGCACCCCCGTAAGGGACAAGTAGCACTGCAGTCTGAATACAGCGCCGTGCATCCCAAACATGAGGGGGAAACACAAACATGACTGGACATTTTGTTTCTTTTGTTGGCACAGATGATCTGCCCTACTTGAAGTGTCCCCTGCACACTGTCCTAAAACTCACCCCCGTTGCTTACGGTAAGTCACTTCACTGTTCACAAGTTGACTAAACTTCCTCCTCTGTTGGGTTGTGACGTGTTGTTCTCCTGTCTCCCTCTTCCAGGTTGTACGGTGGACATGTTTGACCTGAAGGTCGAGGCTGTCAACACACACAGAGACAGACCATTAGTAAGCTCGTGACCTTTTTTTAATTAAGTTCTGTCGTAAACACACTGTGACGTTTGTCTGAAGTTGTCAGTCGAGTTCAGTAGTTCACGTTTCTAGTGCGTGCAGCCAGTAGAATCAGTCATCCCCTACATCATGACTAGACAAACTGACCACGGCTATATTTAGGTCAAACCACACTTCCAGGAGTCTTTACCTCAAAAGTCCTTCCATCGGATATATTGAATTTCTTTTGTTAGCTTCAGACAGAGCCAGGCTGGCTGGTTCCTCCGGTCAACGCTCATAGAGAAAGATACTTGTGCCTCACAAGGAATTTAGATTTTTAAAGTGTTTTTTGGCTGTTTACTCGAACCAGTGATGTTGCAGTTCATGGTCCGTGTTAAAGCTGTGGGAGCAGCGCCCTCACAGTAAAGGACCAAATGAAAACGAGATCAATAAAAAGCCTCCAATGTAATAGATATCCACCTTATCGAATCAGCCTCGGCTCTCTCTAGAAACCATTCGTTACCGTTGTATTTGTGAGGTGTGCACATTTTCATAACATCTGCTTTTACAGATACCAGTTTATGGTCGGGAAGCAAACTCTATCCCCCAACAGTGAACTGGATGTTCATCAGTGATCTGTGTTTATTCCGGGAATCCCAACGACACATTCGGAGGCTTTTTGTCTTTATTTCCTAATCCGCCCGCTTCATATCTGCTCCCCGGTTTAGAGTTTGTTTTCTGATGAGTGACGACTGTTGAAACCAAGAGTCCTAGACAGAGTGGGTGTTAACACATAAACACGTTAACTGACAAAGCTCTTGTTAAATGGGCTGAGAAATAGCCGGTCTGCTGAGACCAAAATAGCAATGGTCTGTATATTTATGGCTGTTTGTTTCAGTGGTTGTTTTTCTCTCCTGGCTCTCCAGCAGTCACTTACACAGAACACAGTGACTTCAGAGCTTCAGTAGGAGAGGTTTAATTAGTACAACACACACACAAAAAACACACACGTGTTAATCAGCCCACCACTGTCTGCTCTTCACTACCCAGAATGCTGTGCCGCCGGCGTTCATCCGACGAAACAGCTTCACCCCGTTGTCCAGCCAAGACCAGATCAAACGGCCGCGCCTGTACAGCGTGGGCAACCCTTCGCATGCTCGCATGTCCCAGGCTCCTACTTTACCCAGCATGCAGTTCTCTGAGGCGTCCGAGGGGGCAGAGATGCTACAAAGCGAGGTCAGTGCAGTGAGTGTTGCTGGATGTAATTCATCATTTTAAAGATAATAAAGAGGAAACTGTCTGACAATAGAAAAATGAAGGAGCTATGAAACAGCAGCAAGGGAAAGATGAATAGTTGAATAATTTTAGTTTAGATTTATATGTATATGGCCTTATTTGTATTGGTTTCTTTGCTCTGTATATTGAGATGTGTTATTCCAGAGATGAGGGCCCAGTACAACCCCAGAGCTGTATTATCATGTTTTACATTATAAAGGTGTTTAGAACTAACAAAGTGGCCTTCACACACATCTTGAATGTGATTTGCCTCATAAAGCGACCTCTCTTAAATGTTCTGTAGCTCATAAACTGAAAAGAGGGCAGAAAGGGAGTGTTTCACTCCGGCTGGTGACCTCAGATTTTAATATTAGCTCAAGTTCAGTCGGTGCTCAGTCGTCTCTTGGTTTGGTGTTTTTCTTAACGCTTTCTGCCTTCCCCCCTTTTTCTGTCCTGCAGGACTCTGTGAACGGTTTCAGTGCAGCACACACAGGCGAGCGGCATTAAAGAACCACAGAAAGAGGTATTTTCAGCATCGTCCTCTTGTTTATCATGTGGAACATCTGTGGTCTCCACCTCGAATATCTCACATCTTTGTTTTGCCATTCAAGACCAGCAGTAAACCCCCCCCCCCCCCCACATTACATTCTTAAACACTGTATCTGTGTAACCATGTGTTATCTCTTTGTTTTTCATTGGATATGTTATGTGTGTGTGTGTGTGTGTGTGTGTGTGTGTGTGTGTGTGTGTTGGTGTGCACATACATACATGAACTCAATGCCTTTGCACAATAGCCTTCATATCAAGGCTGCGATCCAGGTCCGATATATAAGAATGTAGAAACCCCTTGTACACTCCACATACTGTAGTCTACAGTCATATTATGCTGTATTAGATGTAGAACATGTTGATTGTGAATTTTACTCCTCTTTTTAGTTTTACTGTAAGAGAGTGCCTCTCTTTAAGGAAGCCACGTACAGCCTTAGTTTCCTTTAAGTTACCTTTTCAACATTCCCAGGTGATGAGCGTCCTTCCTCGGGCAGTCTCATAAGATGTAGTAAGAATTTAATTTTGAAGTGTAATTCAAAGCTTATCAAGCTTGCAGTAGGCAGACACGGGCTGTAAAAAGTAATGAAATGTTTCGTCTTGCCTTGTAAAAAACATTGAAGCAGATACTGTGCTTATTTCCTCTGTGACACTTATTCTGCTCTTCTCTTCATTTGTGTTTTGCCTTCCACTCACATACCAGCTTTAATATGTTCAGCTGTCCGCTGTGTCGATGTCAAGCTGACGACATTTGAGTTCCGTGAAACTGATGCAAATATTTCAAACACAAAGTGCTCTTGAATTATAATGTAATTCAATTCTTCATAGCTAAAAGTAAATCAATCGTATATACTGTATGATAATGACTAGCTTCACAGTAACCACATGGATAACATCTATTCACATGACTTTGATTAGATTATCAGCAATAAATCAACATTTTGGAAAAAAGTGCCTTTATTGAAAGGACTACAATAGGTATGTATGACAATAGGATTGAATGTCTTAAAACGAGCTGCTCGTTGAACACTGTATACCGTACATGTTTCCTTTTAATAAAGTTCATTTTATCGCAGTGTTTACGTTGACGTCTCTTTATTTTGACCTCAGAAAAGTCTTTTAGTTTGGTGAAGAATTGTGTGTGTGAGCTCACTGGGAGTCGCCTTTCTGTTTGATAAACTTCATGTCCCCAAAGTAACATCACCAGAGCTCAAAGAACAAGAGGGAAATTATTATTCTTGCTCTGCTCACTGAGTGTTTAAAATGATGTATACGCTGCAGGGTGAGTCATCAGGGAAACGGGGGAGGAAACGTCCCAATCAGTCGTATTTTCAGAGAATTTAATCTGCAAGTTGCTTTGACGCCTGAAATGATCCTTGAATGTGTGGATTCCACACTGATTAAAGATATTCAACAAAAAGAAAATAGATCACGGTCACTTAAACCAAAACTACATAACACATGAATATATACTAAATAATAAACTGCAGAAACACACAAACATACATGAATAAACAAAGGAAAGAAGAAGAAAAGAAACAGACTAAACAATGCCTATAATTGAACTGTCCAGATGCCCATCAGGCCATGACGGTTGGGGTCAGAGGCCTGTAGCTGACTTTTGGTTTTAATATTCTCGGGCCGGACCGCTACATCATTAGTGTGAGGGGTCAAAACATCTTCATGTGTCAGAGGCAGAGGGACTGTAATGAGATGACACCGTTTCTATTTAGAGCAACATTATGTTCATGCTGCAAGTCCCTTTGGATGAAAGTGCTCCTCTGATGGCTGTATATAGTTACCAGATTCTGTGAGGATGTTTACATTCAAAACGTGTGAAGATCTCATAAAACACGACTAAACCTTTTTGGCTTATGGCCCCTTAAACCAGAGCGATGTCTTCTTGTCTGGTCGCAGTTTACATTTGTCTACGAGTTCAGTTCAACCAAAGAATGATGTTCCCCTCCGAGATAGTTTCTCGTGACTCAAGAGGATAAAATTATCCAGTATGTTACAAAAGAGAGGAAGGTCACGACTCGCTCATCTCGTGACCCCATAGATTCATCTTTTTGGGGGTTCCTGACCACCAGGTTGAGAGCCACTGTCATAAAATATACATTAAGTACCACAGATGTAGCGGCTACTATTTAAAGACACTGCTTACATGTAATCCATAATCTGTACCCATTATCTATTTTTCATCTGCTTGTTTCTGTTCCATTGTCTTGTTTTTCTTTTGTTCTGTTGCTGCTGCTCACTGGAGGTTACAGACCATAATTCTGCTGTATGACAATAAAGTATCTTGAATAAAATACTAAACTATAGATTTATTAAGAATTTTTATGGCATAATATACTATGAATTAATATGACTTTTCAAAGACTTTTTATATGACTTTTTTATGACTTTAAAAGGCATAAATAAAAAGGATCTGCCTGCTGTTTCCACCATTACGGCCGGGGTGTAAAATCAGTCACAGTGACTCAAAACCATGCTGGCAAAGCTTTGTTGTGACTTTCCACCACAAGGAAACCAAGCAGTGGTCTGTGTTGATTAAAAATAACCAGAGACAGAGAGGCTGAAAACTCTGCGACCGGGTCAAGAGTCTCATACAGTTCAATTAGTGTACAACTAATAAAAGACAAGTTTAAAATGAGTGGAAATGCAAATATACAATTACATTTCAAAATAAACTTAGTGAACAGGAGGTCAGATTGTTTAGTTTTTTTATTAAATTGTTTTAGAGAGGTGTTTGAACTGTGTGCAGTATAAACTGCATTTATAGCGACTGTAGTTTGAAGTGCTGTTGAATTGTATTGTGTCATATTCCATTTAGTGCCCTGACTGATCTAAATTAGGTTTACAACATGTTTAAAACATACCTCAATTTAATATTTATTAGACTGGGTTTAATTTATTTGATTTCTGTGGTCTATTTGGTTTTTATTAGTAAAAGTGCAGTGGGGTTCTGTTCCCTTAATGTCTCTAAAAAGCTCATAAGACTTTCTTTCCCCTCCAGTAGAAACATGTTGACTTTCTTTCATCTATAAACGTCTAACTTGTTAAACTGAATTCTTAGAAGATCATGGGAATGTTTTGGAAAACGTTTGCACCCCGAATAGTTTATCTGCTTGTTTGGCTTGTTTAGGATTAAATTGAATTGGTTTAGCCCATAAAGTTATTGCAGATCACCATATGGCACCCATGGGTTATGTTGGATTTATATTGATTGTTGGAATAAGGTGGCAGTACGTGTGTCCCTGTGTTTGTTTCCGTGTGATGTCGATCAGCTGGGCTGCTCCGGGTGAGCCACCCCCTCTTCTATAAATTGCCTGATCCGAGGCTGCTGCTGGCATTTGATTTGTAATCTGTCTCAGAGGATTTATTTACTGCACGCAGCCTCGCGGACTAACAAACATGAGGAACGTCCCGTGGATTTTTCTGGTTTCATCCTTTGCCTTTCTTGCTTCAGGTAAATTAAAGTAAAATCCACATTTCGTACATTTGAGATTCTTTATTTATATTTTAGCTCTTTGATCTTCCAAAAAAAAAAAAATAGCTCAAGTACCAAAGACATGTTCGGCACCACCGGAGTACCCGAACACCATCCTAGTGAAGAAATATGCGGCCATGCAGAAGTTCTTGAGCGGGGAGAAGGTTTATTATGAATGCGCAGAGGACTTCAGTCCATACAGAGGAAGCCGAGCTGCGCAGTGTGACGGTGGGAAATGGACCCAGCTGACTCTAAAATGCGAAAGTAAGTACACTTATTAGCTGTTCAGTTCAGTTAAAGAAAGGCTAAACGTTTGTATTTGTATTTGGCTGCCAGTTGAATAATGTCTGGGGTTAAGTTCTGTGCTGTGGAAACTCTCAAGATGGAGTGAAGGTGTGCATCAGTGAGACGACTCCTGTGTGGGTTTTTGTTCACCTTCATCACAGAGAAAAGCTGCTCGCACAGGTATGTGCTTCCAAACATACAGAGCGTTTGAGCAGCATGTAGGCGGAGTTGATGCAGCCGAAACAATGCATCAACAGCTACAATCAGCTAAAGCAGGTCTGTAACTTTAATCTCCTGTCAGTCGTCACCACAGGTTGAACAGAGTTATGATTACCTTATTTACAAAAGAATAGTAGTAGAAATACAACAAAAAGAAAATAAGTATTACTCCCCGTCGGGGAATCGAACCCCGGTCTTCCGCGTGACAGGCGGAGATACTGTCCACTATACTAACGAGGAGGAGTGTAAAGGATCATGTGACCTCATCCAACCAATCAATGGGCTGACATGGAGTAGCTAATGAATATTAATTAGATGTGAAGTGTGTTTTAAATGTTTTAAAGTATAGTTTGTAAAAGCGCTGCTTCACTGTGATGAAAAAAAGTCCAGTATAGAAATCCTGCTTACCTTTAACGGAAAAACAGGGAGCCTCTAAAAATGTTAAATAAGTAAATATTGTACTTTTTACAAGTACATATTGTACTTTTTACTGTACTTAAACCTCAAACTATTTGATAACATTAATATTTAGAATGTAAAATTCCTCATACTGACTTCAATTTACTTTTGTTTATCTTTAACTAACTTGGTGTTCGTTGCTGTTGGACTGTACCTGATGTCTGACAGCAGGATTCACTTGTTATGAAGTGCGAACTTGCTTCATTTTCTGTTGAGGTGTGTGTGTGTGTGTGTGTGTGTGTGTGTGTGTGTGTGTGTGTGTG